GGTTAGCTGAAAGAAAAAATCAGAGGAAAACGTCCTACCTTGAACAAAAAAAATGCCTTTTTCTTTAAGACAATACTCGTGTTCATACGTGTGCAGTTTCGATGACAAAAATTAACGATTTAAAGTTCGAATTAATTGACCATCTACCTTATTCGCCTGATTTGGCCCGCAGTGACTTTGTCTTATTTCCTGACCTCAAAAAATGGCTTGCCAGGCAACGATTCACGTCGAATGAATAAGTCATCGCCGAAACAAATGCCTATTTTGAGGGTTTTCAGAAATCACATTTTTCTGATGGCTTAAAACAACTGGAAGGCCGTTTAATAAAATGTATCGACCTTCAAGGAGATAATGTTGAAGAATAAAAAAAAATTACATACGCAAAATTTTTTTTCCTTCCTTTTGTAAATACTTATTGACCCCCTCCCCTCGTATATACGTACGTGGAGTTTGCCAGATTGCTGAACTGGAAGCCTGTTACAATATATGGGTATTTCTTGGCTATTTAGATTGACTTGTAACCCTTAGGTTACGGATTTTTTTTTAATTTGGCACAATTGTTGTACACATGAAAGTGAGATTTTTCCCAAATTTTGATGACGGTACATTAATTATATCAAAATTTATTAACAATTAAAGAAAAATGATACAAAATTTTCAATCGGCTATATGTTAAAAACTAATAAATATCGAAGTCGCATTTTTTTGAAAATACTTTGTAACGGGGTAATACCATTTAATTATATTTTTATTCGCGCGACTTTGTTGAGAGGGCGAACGTAATTATTTATGCTCAAAATGTAGTCCGGAGAGCATGCGGAGACAGGCGTCAGTCAACCAATAAGTCATCTAATCTAGGAAAAAGTGAGTGGAAGCCATAAGCATTAAGCAAGTCGAAAAACACTTGTTAGTAACACGAACAGAACCTTTTATTATCACTCAAATACTACATAAGGTCGGCCCGCACGTTTGTTTACATCGACGCTCGCTCATCGACAACACGTATTGTCGGGACGCTCGCTGCTCTTTGTTATTGGAGCCGCTATATGCACGCTTCGAATGTCGGAAATTAATTATTAAACATGCAACCGCGATCGCGAGATTAAGCTGGCCAGCTTACCTTATTATTGCAGGCGTACGGAGCGGACGAAAAGTAGTCGCACTGCGCGGAACTGTTTTGTTTATTTTTGCCGGTCGCGAATTCGCGCGCACACGGTTTCGCCCTCGATGGCGAAACCTCACACACTCTCCTTCGTCGGCTCGGGTCCCTCCCTCTGCAGGCGTGTGGCACCACGTCAACGGCGGTTACTCTCCTGGCACTAGGCTGAATGTTCCTCCCTTATCGTATTAGTGTTAGCGCACGTAGATCGGCGATAGCAAAAACAAAAGCGGGCGGACGCAATGATGGTCAGTGCTTCACTGGTTCGAATTCAATCGCGCGCGTTCTGTCTGCTCGCGTGCCGAATTCCTTTGTCACGTTTTTCGTCTCCCCGGTAGGTGCTGCCCCCCGCGAGCAGCAATTAGGTTATATTACTAGCGCTAATTTGACGCTTACCGTCACAGCCCCCTTCCAGTCTGGACCTACGGGGTCCTTGACGATAATTCCATTAGCGCTATCTTTTCCGAGGTAGAGAGGAGAAAGGGTAATAAAGGTTCGTAGTCCATGATATTTTTAGTTTTATTTTTTATTTCGTCGACAGGAGTAGAAGTGACCCTGCCCACGGGGGCAGGGCAAGATCACCTGGCTGGTCTTGGCGATTCCTCCCGTCCTTGGTCGTCCAGAGGAGGACGGCCGCGCGCCTCCCATCCCAGCCTCTCCTGGACCAGGTCGGCGAGCCGTCGTACGCGGAGGCAGCGATCCGTGCGGGTCACCCCGGGGTAATGGCACACGTTGCACCCTTCCCACTGTGCGCGGGATAGGGTGCCACGTGGAAGGCCTCGTTCCCTGGGGGTCAGCGGCAACCCGTCCTTGCGGTTCGGGGCGGATCACAACGGCCTTTCGACCGTGGGGTCCTCACCCGCGGGCCCCACCACCACATTAATGTGGATGGGCCCCGTTGCTTGACCCCCTTGGCTGCCATCCACGTTTACCACCAGGTTCACCCCGCACGTCTGTGAACCCTGACGCGAAGTGGCTCCCGACCTGATCTCCGGAGCCGTTGACCTGGCTCCGACGATCGGAGGCTGGGAGAGGTCCATGTGGAGGTCACCCGCCGGGCCCTCGAGGGCCTGGCGGTGACGCCGCTGCACTTCCTTAAGTATCGACGCGAATTGGCGACGGCGGGACACCACCTTATCCCAGTGGTCCATATCGTCTGGGTGGTGTCCCGCGGCCGCGTACGCGTCGTATTCGGCGTACACGGCCCGTTGGAGGGCGTTGAGGGTCGCCCAGCCTTGTTCGACTTTCCTCAACCCCTCAACTATTTCCTTCCAGGTCCGTTCGCCAGACGGGGGTATCTGGCTAATGAACCTGGGGCGCCAGGTCGCGTCGGTGGCACCCTCCTCCATCTGGGTGCCAACGGATGACGTCGGAGCCTTTAGCGGGATAGACCCCGCTGGGGGTCCGGGCAGCGGCGTGGTATCACCGCGCGCGATGCCGGGAGTCGTCGACGGCATCGCGGTAGGATCCGCTGTCGAGAGCTCTTCGATGAGCATGGATGACGAGCTCTCGTGAGCTCGTACCCGTGCTCGTACCTCCTCCTCCTTTTTGGCACCAATGAGGTGCAGGGCGGCATGTACCACCCCTTCAACGGCGGGACCCAAGTCCAAGCCGATGAGGGTGGCCGCCGCTTGCTCGAATTGTTCGAGCGTGATCTGCATCCTGTAATAATCCAGCAAGTTAGTATCCTGAATAGTTTTGGATATCGAAGGTGGGCGCCTGTTCGGCTGCCCAGGGCCTTCGTCGCCAGAGTCGAAGGTGGGGTCCTTGGCGTCGGTCTCCCAGGTCCTTCGTTCGCCGTGTCTCATGCATTCACGGTTGTCGTTTTCGGTGGTCTGCCCCTCTTCCTTTTCCCGATGATGGGAGGAGGGGCTCGAGTAGTCTGTCGGTGTTGTGTAGTGTGTGTGGTTCGCGCGCACTTACAAGGTCTTCCTCGTGGGCGCTTCGTCGCGTTAGTAGAAGAGGTATTTAGTGGGACTCGGCTGGGGGGACCACGACGAGTACGGCGAGGTGAGCTCGGAGTTGTCGCGTCGTCATTTCGGAGTGTATTGCCCGCAGTGTCAGCGCTCCCGTTTCCGTGTATCATTGTATCGCTCGCATTGGGCGGGACGCTCATCGCCTCGGTTCCCTCGGTGGTAGAGGTCTCGTTGTCATCTCGTGGCCGGGTTCCATCTTCCAGTATATCGTCATCTCGTCCGGTTCCATTGTGGGTAATCAACAATCCAAAGTATGTGGCCTCAGACTTGCATAAGACACTCTTCTCTCGATCAATCGAGAGGCCAGCCTTATACAACCTATCCAACTCTGTTTTATGACGTTGTGCGTGATCTTCGAATTTGGACGATACTACTATGATATCGTCCAAACAGGCGAAAGAGAAACCGCCAAGCTCGGGTCCGATCACGCTGTCTATTAATCGTTGGAAGGTGGCGCCGGCGTACGAGGGACCGAATGATACTCTTACGAATCGGAGGTATCCTAGTCCGGGTACGGTGAAGGCAGTGAAATGTCGGCGTTCGGTCTTGAACGATTTTGTCTCATTGACTCGAATCTCGTGTTCAATGCCTGTTGCTCGTCCCAGTCCCACGGGGGCCTGCGATAAGGCCTCGTCGATGGTCCTCTGAAATATCGCCTGTCGAGAGGCGGTTACCTCGGCTAGTCCGATAGTAGCTAATCCCGGACCAGCCTCCAAACTAGCTACTTCTAGTTTCATCTTGGTTTGTGATTTCTTGAGCAGTAATGTATCATCATCCGGATCCAGTACTGCTCTAAACAACCTAATAAAGTTCTAAGATACACTCCTAAGATACATTCATCGACGAGGGTTGGGAGGATAGCCACCCTCGTCGGCATCGTCATCTCCCCTACGGTGAATGGCAACGTGGCATGGCCAACGATCGTCAACTTACGACCGTCGGGTAGCCCTGCCGTACCTGCGTGGGAGGTATCTAACCTGACGCCTAGCATGGACGCTATTTGCAGAGCATTACTACCCATGGCTGTAGTGGAAGCTCCCGGATCATAGAGAGCCCGTATTTGGAAGTCTCCTATTTTCACCGGCAGCCACCAGCGCGTTTCTTGTTCCGGGGAATATCGGGAAACAGTTTCGGCGGCTCCACAGCTCTGCTCCTTGCCCATCATAGCGCTAACCACCGTGCTCTCGTGTGGTAAAGTGACGTTACTTCTCGTTCGAACCACCTCGGTCCGGACGATCGGAGTTCCCATAGGGCTACCCTTTGACGATTTATCTGCCGGTGGTTACTCTCCTCTTTGAGATTACTCTTTTTGAGATATTAGCAATTGTTTAATCAAAAAGTTTATAACTTTCGAAAAAAATTTTGTATTGTTTATTGTTGTAATTATTTCGAAATTTTAAGATATTATAAGTATTTTCAAAAAAATCCGATTTCGATATCTTTAATAATTTTTAAAATATAGCCGTTTGAAAATTTTTTATCATTTTTCTTTAATTGTTAACAACTTTTGATATAATTCATGTATCGTCTCCAAAATTTGGGAAAAATCTCACTTTTATGTGTACAATAATTATGCCAAATTAAAAAAAATTCCGTGACCTAAGAGTTACAAGTCAATCGAAATAGCCAAGAATTACCCATACATGTATATTTTATATTATAGTCTTCAATTTTCACTTATTTTTATTATCAAATGTCTGTTACGTCATGAAATAAATAATTTCTTTATCAACCAGTAGTATAAAAGGACTTTAATTATCCGAGTACTCAATTATAAATCTTGATATAATACAACCACTACCATATCTCTTTCAATAATTTATTACAATTATATCAATTTTATAAATAAACTGATTATTTTTTAGATTACCTAACCATGTATCATTGGAAGAAGGAGCATTATTAGAACCCTTATCAGTCGGTGTACATGTTTGTAAACGCGCCGGTATTGGTATTAATTCCAGTGTTTTAATTATGGGAGCAGGCCCTATTGGTCTCGTTACTTTACTTGTAGCTGAAGCAATGGGAGCAAAAAATGTGATTATAACAGGTAAGAAAGTTATGGTACTATCACGTTATTACACAGATAGATCTCTAACGCATTATAAAATTAAAGTTTGAAATCTAAGAAACAATTGCAACTTTTCGAAAAGAACCAAAAACATTATTTATATACATATAATTAAAAGTAATGTAATGAAAAGTAATAAAAATAAAAATTGATACGTGGTTTCTAGACATAGATTGAAACAGTTTACAGTAACAAATTGAATTTTGGTAGTTAAAAATTAATTAATACATATAACAGGTTTATATTCGGAAATTATATATCGAAATTACCTAAAAACGTACTTCTGTTCATTAAAAACTTTCATAGTTATAAATTTTCCTTAGTAAACAATAGTTTTTTTATGAACATGACTACTCCTTCACCTCATCTCATATAAAATATCACCTCAAATAAAATTATAAATATCTGCAGTCGAATAATAAAATTTTTTAGTCTATTAGCATTGTTTAGCGCGCTTGCCATCTTATATTTTGATGTTATTTATTATATTGAAAAAAAAATCGAAAAGTACTGATTAATTATCGCATAATGTTCCTTTCCGTACGCCATCTACGTAGAATGAAAATACTATAAGTAGATTAAAAAGTTAATTATAAAACTTATTACAAAAGCCATATTAGTCATGTTAGAGTTGATATCATTTAGATTTATTAAATGTTCTTCATATATCAGTAGAACTATTTGTAGTTGGTAAAGTTTTTTAGATTCCGTCCTAGGTAACGACTTGGTTGCGTTAAATATTTCAGATACTTGATCAAATATAGGTTCTGTAGGATCAAAATCTGAATTCTCAATGCAAATTTTGGTACTGTAAATCATTTATTATTAAATATCGTGTTTTATATAAATCAACAAAAAAAATTTATGTGGAATGCATATATACGTCCTAGTGTACTTTATTATATGACCTAAATAATATTTTAAGCTCTTAATATAACCTTAAATAGTATTTCTTTACATAGTGAAGTATGTACTTATCATTATCTGAAATGTCATAATAAAAATAAAAATTTAAACTTACTATTGAATCTTTCATTTGATTGCATGATTGCATACATACATTTGAACAGAATATATTTACAACATCAACCTTTTAATGTTATATGAAGGATTATCTAGATTAGTATCAAGTTTTGAATAAAAACGATATTCTGTTTCATTCTCTAGCTTTTTGTCAGACTTATTGCTGTCGTCAGAAAAAATCTTCATTGTGTTATTGAAAAACTAAAATAATTCGAAATTTATGCAAAAGGGGAAGGAGACAGAGGCAAATACCTTGAAGCAAAGAGAGAATACAGAGAGCGAAAGAATCTGAGGGGAAAAGAGTGGCAGAAGAAATAAGAAAAGATAAGACGAGAAGAGAATTCTGGGATAAAGTGAATTGCAATAGGAAGAAAATAATTGGATTAGATGAAAACATAGGAAAAGAAGAATGGTAAAGCATTTCAAGGAATAATTGGGAGCGAAAGAAAAGGAAGAAAGCAAAGGAAAAGAAACCGAAGACAGCGAAGGAGAGGAAGGTGGACAAATTAAAGTAAGAGAAGTAAAAGAGGTAATAAGAAGAATGAAAAAGAAAAAGGCAACAGGAGAAGATGGTATAGTAAACGAAGCGTGGATGGAAGGCACGGAAGGCTTGTTGAAAGATATGACAAAATGCTTAAACGGAATATGGAACGGAGAGGAATATCCGGAAGAATGGAGGAAGGGAATAATAGTACCAATATATAAGAAAGGGAGGAATGAAGAAGTAAAAAACTATAGAGGAATAACGCTGATGGACGCGGGATATACAATATATATGGAAATACTGAGGAAAAAGCTGGAAAGAGAACTAGATGCAATAGAAACGCTATGCGATACGCAGATGGGATTCAGGAAGAAAAGAGGAACAATAAACGCAATATAATTAAAATTAATAAGGTACCAGGAAGAAAGGGGATTAGAGCTAAATGTAGGAAAATCAAAGATGATGAAATGTAGGAGTGGAGGAGGAAGGGGGAAGGACGAAGAATTCGAATAGGTAGGCGAGAAGATAGAGATGGTTAAAGAGTACAACTACTTAGGATATGTAATAAGCAGAAATAACGGAAATAAAAAGCAGATAAAGAAGGTAGAAGGGAAAATAAATATGGGACTCGGAAGACTATGGGGGTTAGGAGAAAAGCTATTTAAAGAAAATTGGGAGTTAAAGATGAACCTGTTCGACGCACTGGTGAAAAGCGTGATTATGTATGGAGGAGAAATCTGGGGATGGAAGAGATATGAAGAAATAGAGATTACAGCTAAAATACATAAAGAGGGTATTACGATGAGATAGAAACACCCCAATTTACTGAATACGATGGGAAACAGGAAGACAAGAAATGAAAGAAACAGCATTAGAAAGAGCAATGAGGTATGAAAACAAAATAAGAGAAGAAAGAGATGGCTCAATAAAAAAAGATGCATGGAGAGAACTAATGAAAAGGGAAATAAATGAAAAAGATAAAAAGGGTAAGAAGGAGGAGAGAGAGAGGAAAGGCTAGAAAAAAGTAAAATATACAGAGAGAAGGAAGAGGAAGACGATATGAAAGAAGAGGTTTGGGAAGAAATAAGAGATGAACTAAGGAAAAAAGAACTAGAAGAAAAGCTAGAAAAGTCAAGATACATAAACGAGTGGAAAGAACTGAAAGAAGAAATGAAAAAGTACAGATTAAAGGAAATTCAAGGAGAGGGAAGAATAAAAGGCCTACAAATAAGGGAAAGGTTTAGGTTAAGTAACGAAACGAGAGGAAGTAGGTATTGGGAAAAAGAAGATAATAAGAGATGCAGAACGTGTATGAAAATGGGAGGAAATTGGAAGCACATAGTAGAAAAATGTGAAAAAAGCAAAAAGGAAGGGGCAGAATGGGAAAAAATAATAATAGAAAGCAAAGAAAAGATAGCGTGGATGATGGAGCTAAAATGGAAAAGAAGAAGAAATGAAGAAGAGAAAGAAAAAGAAAAACAAGAAGACGAAATTACAAGACCATAAGGACAGATGGAAACAGAAGGTAAAGACACAAGACTCGCAAACACATCTACATACGCACACATAAACACAAAACACGCACACACACGCAAACATACACATACACACATACACACAAAACACAAGTAATAGCAACTATACAATCGAGAGGAAGCAGGTATTCGACGACGAAGCAAGAATAGAAAAGAAAAAGAAACGAAGAAGAGAAGGAAAAAGGAAAACAAGAAGATAAAAATATAAGACACTAAGGAAAATAAGTGAGGTTGAGAAAATGAAAGGCAGAGGGAGCAATAGGAAATGAGAAAAAGGTGTCAAAGCTCTAATAAGGAGAAAGACAAGATAAATGATTAGCAAGAAGGAGAGCTAAAGCAAAAGAAAGGCAAAGGTAAAAAGGCAAAAGAAAGTAGCAAAGGAAGAAGTCGAAAAAAGAAAATAAGTAACAAAGAGAAAAAAAGAAGAGCGGAAAAGGCAGATCTCGGAGAGAGAGAGGAAGAGTCTTCTCTTCCTCTCTAAGCAATAGAAAAATGAGGAGAAAAGCTGAACAGACAGGCGCAGAAGACAGAGACTCAAGAGTTGCAGACCCACCTACATTCGTAGACGTATACACAAAACACACATACACACACGCACATACACACACAGAAGACATACATTAACAACTGCACAAACTTGACACGAGACACAAATATTAAAGAAGAATTGTAAACCAAATGTAACATAAGTTATAAATAAATATATATATATATTAAACTTAACCGTAAATATCAGCAAGTACAATCCTATGAGGACTGGTTCTTACGTTGAATTGCCCGAGCCTATTAAAACAAAGAAAGCCTGTGTGAATGTGCAGAACAACGACAACGAATGTTTCAAATGGGCCATCCTTTCGGCGTTACATCCAATCGCAAAGAATGCATGTCATTTTCCTACCTATACTGATTATCAAGACAAATATAATTTCAAAAATCCATCATTTCCGGTACACCCGAAAGAAGTCGTGAAATTTGAAAAACAAAACGACGTTTCAGTGTACTTTTGAAATTTGAATAATGGGTCCTACGAGGTTTTGCCGCAACATTTGACCGATGAGAAAAAAGAAAAACACGTAAATCTTCTTCAAGTTAAAAATTATTATATCGAGGTTAATGCCGATGTGAACGAAGAGCAAATGGAACGTTCCAGTATACCTTACATAATACACTTTGTTTGGATAAAAGACTTATCTCGATTGATGAATCGACAGTTGTCATTTCGCAGATCTAAAACGTACATATGCGATCATTGCTTACACTATTTTCGAACAAAACAGAGGTTAAAAGCGCACGAGATCAATTGTAATAATGTGAATATGTGTAAAATTGTGCGTCCCAGTGAGAAAGATAAATTTTTACAATTTGAAAACTTTAAAAATAAGTGCGGTGTACCGTTTGTTTTGAGAGTCTCTTGGAAGCGGTGTTTAACGATGAACGGATCTATCACAGTCACAAACCGTACAGTGTTGGTTTTTTTTTCGTCAAGTGTAGCTATGATGACTCTCTTTCGTGTTATCAAAGCTACAGACAGAATACCATCCATGACGTTGGTCCAGCCAAGTGGTTTGTTCACAATCTTCATTATTTGACCAAGTATCTTCACGAGTTGTATAAAAGCCCACAGCCTATGGAAAATTTAACCTTCCAAGAAACATTTACTTTTCTTCATGCTACGATATGTCATGTATGTAATAAGCCTTTTGACAAGAAAAAAGGAGGCAGTCTGGGGACGGCCGACAAGAGCGACGTTCAAACTCATATCGTGTAGAAATGGTATATATAATTAGTTTCTAACTAATAATGAAATAATAAGCTCTATTAATTATTCATAAATAAATTTATTGAAGTATTAATAACATTCATTATCGTATGTGATTTCGGTAATAATTAACTCAATACAATTTTAGTGATCATCATCTGTAACTTCGGTTATAGTA